ACGCATCGATTTTTGTTGCTCAAACCCACTACCTCCCTATGTTCGGCGGTGAACTCGAAATGGTTTCAAATTATGTCCTGCCGACCTCATGGGCTTCTGGGCGTCGTCCGCAACATCGGTCCTCGACTCACATCTTCTCTTTGAAAGTGTGGAACTTGTTCTTTCGTGTGTACAATTGAGCCAAAATTCTGTAGAAGAATTAGTGAATAAAATTCACGGGGGCGTTCTAACATTCGAAGGTCAAGGGTACGGTGTTTCGACAAACACCCTTGCTCAGGTTTCGGGGCAGGTAACCCTCCCCGTGTCGCAAGCTTACACAAATGCGCAAAAAGTAGATTTTGTTATGACCCCTAAGACAACACAAAACGGCACAAGTCTCAGTCGTCCTCATAATGATGTAAAATCTGTCTTTGTCAAGAATTACCTCACATCCTATGGTCTTCTCAGTAATGGTCAACTCGTAGAAGCTACGAGAAGTTGTCGCGCGAGTGACGCTGAGGCTTTAGCGATGTCTCTCATTGAGCTAAATATGCTTGATGACATCGAACAAGCTGGACTAGTTTACAAAGACCAAGCTGAACTTTCCGTTGATCACTTGGAAAATACAGGCACAGAAGCAGGTGCGGGGGCTGTAGGTTCTTTCGTTGGTTCTCTCAGCCTTTGTTCTTTCAAGAACGGAAATGAAAAAAAACTGTGCTCGGGGCGTAATTTTGTCAACGCTACCAACAGTCTCCAGCTCGATTTTACTCCTGCGTCAGGCAACGATCAAACAGTCACCATTGACATTATCACATATTATGTTCTGTAGTCACTGTTCACCTCAAGGCCGGCGGTGTTTGGATATGAGGGGAGAAGCAGGGAGAGCCTCTCTTTGGCATTTGCCGGCGCGCGCGCGGCCGGCTGTCCATGGTCATGGGCTGCGGATCGCGGCAGACGTGCCTCTGGTGTGCTCGGAACTGTGCTCCGTGACCATGGACACCCTGACCGTCATCCGGAATCGCTGCGCGAAGTTCGAGCATTTCGGCATGCTCTGCGAGCCGAAAAGCAGCCCATTTTGGGCTCTGGGCAGCGTGCTGGCTGGATCGGAGGCTCGGGGTACATGTCTGATACCCTCGGACTGCTCAGTTGCTGACTTGGCTCGAACGACGTGCGACACCGCGCGCGCGGGCGTGCGGGCGCGCGCGACGCGGTTTCAGCGCGAACACGTCAGATCGACTTCCTCGGGTCCGCGGGGCCAACCCTTGTGGCAGGGCGCTCTCGGGTCGACAGCGGACGATCCCTGCTGCTGCGCGGGGCTGCCCGGGCCGCTCACGGGCCGGGGGAGGGGCGTCGCGTCCGTCAAATCGGTCGCCCGAAGCCGCTTGTGTTCTCAGCGAGTCGCAATCCAAACGCTGCCGCTCCTTCGCGGATGGCAGCCCCGATGTGTGCGCTATGCGCAGTCCCAGCGATCTTGCACGCGGGGGGGCGCGCGCGGTGGTAGGCGCGCTCGACTAAATT